TGGTATATTTGTTGCGGTTTAGTGGGCGCCATCGACCTAAAGGAGACGGCTGTGTCAAGGTTTCACAAGCACAAAGTATGGGCAGGGAACGCATCGTAGTGGCTAAGCACACTGACAAAAAATGTCCGTTACTTCTGTCCTAGAACAGTTTAGCAGATTTGGAAGTCAGTTCTGATATCAGCGTCCGAAGACGCTTCTAGGAAGTATACATCTCATTCTGAATGGCCATGACGAGTTGGTATCCTTCCCTTGTGAGAGCTTGCTGAGTCACGGATATTCAGGTCAAAGAATAAAAAATGAAGAATCACCTTGGCTCGCTGGGAGAGGTTTAAAACTCTATGGGGAGAGGGGATTCTGCAGGAAGTCGATCCTCAAGGAGCCCCCATGCGAAGCACATTAACAAGATCCGAATTCCTATCTCTGAATCGCTCGAACCAGTTTGCAGTCCTCGTAGGAAGCATCATATCTTGTTTGTATACATCAAACACTTCAGCTCATCCTGCAGTTCAAGAGCCGAGGTAAAATGCAAAACCTTGTTGTCAAAAACTCACATTTGTGTCGACCCGACACATCAAATGAGCGTTTCACACGCACGCTCAACGAGCACGCGTGACTGGCCCTCATTTGAAAACTTCAGAGGGAATACCCACTTCACAAGCAAAAGGAGAATGGCTCAACGAAGCCGGGCGATCCGACTGGCCCTCAACTGAAATGTCCCTTCCTACCTTCTTCGCCTAGAATGGGCTTGTCTATCTCACTTCAATATTCGGGGTCCCGCACACCTCTGCTCACCTTTCGCCGGTGTCTGCACTGCTCGGGAACGCTTTGAAGTTTCTTTTCGTCTGGCCCCGTTCACCTCGCCGCACGCTCCGCCCGCAACGGATGTGCCTCGCACTTCTCAACCGGTGACCCATCGCTGACATTAATACACTTTTTCCCGGTGTCTGGAATGCTCTGGAACGGTTTTGCGGATTTTTATATCTTCCGCCCACCTTAACGCACCCTCCGCCCACGACGGTGTATATAATAGTTGTCAACGGGAACCAGTTTTGAACCATAATCCACTTTTTTGCGCCGTATTTAGTGCCCTAGAACCAAACTGCGACTTTTTTAATTAATACCTTGCATTTGAGGCCCTCTCACTGTGGGCGGGTTTTATCTTCGCTATGGATTTTTGCTCTGGAAACTCTCTAACCGAGTTACCGACATTTGGGAAGCACCGCTCACTTTCTGTACGCTCCGCCATCACGGATGTGCCTCCTCCATTTGGTGGGTCAACCCTTTGCTAACTTTATCCCACTTTTTTCCCATGTCGGAGCGGCTCTGTAGCCGAATTATAGCTTTTTTCAGTGACACCGGAAGCACCTGCCCATTTCTAGTACGCCCCGCCCATTTCGGGTGTGTCTCCTCCATTTGATGGGTCAACCCTTTGCTAACCTTAATCCACTTTTCCCCCATCTCGGGACTGCTCTGGAGCCGAATTATGAATTTTTTTCAGTGACATCGCTAACTTTCGTCGCACGCCACACCTATTGTGGGCAAGGCTTACCATGGGCCAAGAATGCTATTTACATGTTGTCATGCCCTACCCATCCCGACCTTGGCCCCATCTCTCCAAGTTGTTCTTCTGGTAGAACCGAATTCCGGACAGACAAACAAACAAACAGACGTAGCAAGTACATATATAGTGGGTGATGTCAAATACCCTCCTATACAAGTCAGCGAATTTGGTGATGTAGGGTATTCTCCTGTGCCTATGGCGTGGGCGCCAGGCAATTTTATGTCGAGCGGATGTGCCATACATATTCAGGAGGTCGAGCTACCCCTGACGACAAGACTCGGTAGCCTGCTGGCAAACAAAACTGGAAGAGAAAAGTAAAGTATGGAAGCCTTTAGTGTACTCAACCGCAGGTTTATATAGTTGCTCATGTATTTCCATTCCTCCCACGGATGGGGAGGAATGGAAATACATGAGAACTATATAAACCTGCGGTTGAGTACACTAAAGGCTTCCATACTTTACTTTTCTCTTCCAGTTTTGTTTGCCAGCAGGCTACCGAGTCTTGTCGTCAGGGGTAGCTCGACCTCCTGAATATGTATGGCACATCCGCTCGACATAAAATTGCCTGGCGCCCACGCCATAGGCACAGGAGAATACCCTACATCACCAAATTCGCTGACTTGTATAGGAGGGTATTTGACATCACCCACTATATATGTACTTGCTACGTCTGTCTGTTTGTTTGTCTGTCCGAATACGGTTCTACCAGAAGAGCAACTTGGAGAGATGGGGCCAAGGTCGGGATGGGTAGGGCATGACAACATGTAAATAGCATTCTTGGCCCATGGTAAGCCTTGCCCACAATAGGTGTGGCGTGCGACGAAAGTTGGCGATGTCACTGAAAAAAATTCATAATTCGACTCCAGAGCAGTACCGAGATGGGAGAAAAGTGGAATAAGGTTAGCAAAGGGTTGACCCATCAAGTGGAGGAGAAACATTCGAAATGGGCGGGGAGTACTAGAGATGGGCAGTGCCTCCGGTGTCATTGAAAAAAGCTATAATTCGGCTACAGAGCCGCTCCGACATGGGAAAAAAGTGGGATAAAGTTAGCAAAAGGGTTGACCCACCAAA